ACCAAACAAACTTTTGACAGAAATATCACCAATTTCATGCCTCACAGTTTAACAGCATCATGAGTCAAAAGAAAAATAAGTGCAATGAATATTACTGATCTGAATTATATCGAATCTAGAAGAAATAAAAAACTGACAATCGCACAAATGAAAAAAATCACCGAGAATAAAAATAAAGACATAACTCGCAAATATAATCAACTGAAAGAAAAAAAAAAAAAAGATTTAATCTCCACCAATCTCGGAAGAAGACAGCGAAGTTGAAATGGAACTTCTTTCTGATAACGTGTCCTAAAGCGACGATAACTCATGCCGAGAGTGTTTTGAAATTTATTCTAAAACCACATCCAAATCAGATTGGGTAAAATGCATCATCTGCCAAAAATGACTGCAAGAATCATGCATACAATATCCACAAAAATGTATAAATTGTGATCGTCAAGAACAACGAACTAAAAATTCAAATGAAATGTCCATGTCATGTCAAATAAAATAAATAATTTTTGTTGAATAAGCGCAAGGTCTCCTACCCTTGCGCGTAATCTCACTCACCCGGTTAGGAGAGATAAAACACTTTTTTTTAGATCCCATGTTTTCTTAATATATGAATTTTGCATTTGCGGTATTTTAGTTAGTATAGCTAACATCCCAAATAACCCTACATATTACATTTTCACATTAAACTTTAGAAAACTTAAAATTTTTGCTATTTTTTTGAAATCTGCGCATACTATCCTAGCTTTATCTTATGGTACATGCACTTACCTGATGGCTTCTGAATATTGTCCTAAAAACTTTTAAAACAATTACGATGATATTTTCCGTTCGTGTGCATTCGTTTATCCCAGGTGATCGAGTTTTTGGTTTAAGTTGAGCTAGACTTTTGTGTCTATACTTTTACAAAGTCACCAAACAAATATTATGAAATAAGAAAAAAAAGTACGCAAGCGTTGCTCTGATTAGACTTTGTACGACGTAAAAAATGCAGCACTTTATCTCAAAAAAGTTGTAAGTATCAGTGAAGCCAAATGAATAATCATTACTCGTGAGGTAAACAAACTGCTGGGGAAAGTAAAATCTTGTATAAATCAGAGGTATTGTATAGAGATGGTGACTATTCTAAAAAATTTTTTAGTTTAATTCAGCCACAGAAAAAACTTGGTAACACAGTACTGCTAAATTGCCAATGAATCATGCTGTTAAGAAGAAAACACTGGATAGCTTATCTCTTCATCGAAATTTTTAGTTAGTTTATTAGGCAAAGAATGGGCACTATATCTAGAGTTAACATGGTTAGAAACAATTTTAAAAAAGCAGTATCATGAAAATACAATAAAAAACACCATACCTGCGATCAACGTGAAGATGGAAAAAAAGTTGCTGTCTTTTGGAGGACGACATATATGTCATATGATTGTTTTTACAATGTTGCATTCCAAACACGCAAAAATGCAATGCAAAACATTTTCAGTACATATTTTTTTATTTTAATCATTTAGGAACAATTAAACTACATTTTGTCATTTAAAGATAACCAAATAGCGTCTTGTCCAATATTTTTTTTTTCGAAAAACTAATAAAGCTTGATAAAACTATAAATGGAATAAATTGATAATAACAAATTACATTTATTTATATTTTGTGTTTTTATTTTTACTTTAATAATAATGCAGTAACAGTTTTTCTCACCTCCTGAAAAATATTAAAAATGGAAAAAGTGCGATATGAACTTTGCTTATAAAGTGCTTTTAAAATCCATTTTCAATAAATTTTATATAGTTATATTCTTTGTTTTTTGACCCGAGAGTACCAGAAAGGCAAAGGTTATACTTGAACAACTAAGTAGTGTTGTAGCATAGTTTTTCCTTTAAATATCGAATATTAAATATATTAAATTATTTATATTTACGCCAATGGCTGATGCGTGACAGCGACCTGAAGGTGTTTACCTCTAAGTATTTTAACGAATTATCTGGAAACAAATATTAACGACGTTATTGTCGAATTTGACCTCTCCTTGATTGCGCTTTAATTTTAAAAACATTTTTACAAAATTTTTAAGGTTTAAATCCAAGGTATGGCTGAAAAGAGATCTGATTGACTGCGAGTAAAATCGAATAATACGATATACGATCTGGACAAAAGGAGTATGTGGCGGTCTAAAAATAAAAGAATAACAGCAACCACTGAGGAAATAAGTTCTTTTTCGTAGAGTTTTGAAAACCAGCAAAAGTTTCCTCAAAAGTGTGTAAGAAGCTTATACTACTTGTTAATCACAAACAACGCAATCCTTGACAAACTTTCTTATTGTAGCCTTATTGGCAATAGTTACGCATTTATAAAAACTTCCTAATATCTACAACTTCTAGGGTTTCTGTCAATATCTTCCGTTCTTCTCCACACATCCAACATGATGGAGTTTCTCAAGGTTTAGATTCTAGTACATCCTTATTAATTCTTGCGATTAACAAGTTAAATCAAAGTATTTCTTTACTAATCAAATACGTGTTATATGCCGATGACCTAATAATATACTATCATAATGAATCTGTTGGCCGAAGGCAGAACTCATGGTTAAAGAATCTACGTGATTGGTATCAATGTAGATCGATTGATTTGCTTAAAGCTTCAAGTTCTTAAATAAAAATAGCCATAATAATTGCCAACCTCCGTAGGGAGACGGCACTCTAAGAAGAAGATGGTGAATCTAAGCCAGCTACAAGAAAAATTCTAGAATAAGCAGGAAATGACGTACAAAACAGAGTAATTTCCCTAGAACTTACCCTCTTCTACTACCTTCTACTAAATATACACTCTGAAGAGTTTGATAAATTATTTAAAATCGGTGTATTATCTTGGAAGAGAGGTTATTTATGACGTCTAATTTTAAATTTGGCTCAAAAGTGGCTGTGTTATTAGTTCAAAAAATGAGAAAAACTTAAATTTGAACCAATTACACTGTAACAACACCACTAGCGGCCTTCTTACGATCTTTTTAATTTCATTATCGAGAGGCCAACTTGTAAATAACGGGCATCGGGCCATAAATTGGAGACTAGCAATTTCTCCCACGGGACCTCTCGAAGATGATTCGAACAGAAGGCCGGGGGTAATTAAAACACAGCGAATCGAGGAGCGAAACAGGGGTGGAAATTAATTTGTTTCAAATGGTCCGTCGGGGTAAGAAAAATCCGTTTAAAAATTACATAATTGGAAAGAGAATTATTGTTTTTTTTTTGCTGGCATTAGCTAGAAGAAAATTTTTTACTTTAGTATATATAATTTAACAAAGTTTTTTATACCTAATAATTCTTACTACTTCTTCCACTCTATCTTTCTCTATGTGTATATTTCTTCCTCTTTATCTCACTTTCTCTGGCTCTATAACTCTTTGTAGGTCGTTGCTTACTTTGCTTAATCTACTTCTAAGTTTTAAGTCGTTGAATAGAGAACGTTAACTTACAAAAATTGTCAAAAACCGTAAAACGTCTTATCTTGGACACAAATTTAGACACGACAGGTACAACTTCCTTCAGCTTATTATGGAAGGGAAAATAGAAGGCAGACGCGGCCCGGGTAGACGACAAATGACCTGGCTACGCAACATCAAAGATTGGATAGGATTAGAGTTTCAAAGTTTAATAAGGAAAGCCCAAAATAGGGAAGACTTTGCAGAGGTTATCGCCAACCTTCTCTAAGAAGACGGCACCCAAAGAAAAAGAATCTACTTCTCTCAATCATATTTTCTTTGCCATTGCGTATTCAGATGACGTTTTATTAGTTAAATGTGGTATTTATCCATCCAAAATGGGTTCTAATTTGCCACCCGAAGATGAGGGGCTACTTGTAATTTAGACAAAATAGGAAATTAAGATTCAAGAAAAGTTAGTACTAAAGAAAACTTAACATAATGATAGAGATTGGCTTAGCTTAGAGCAATGAATTTAGGCCAGAGTGACACAAAATCTCAAACAAGGATTCAGGCTAGATTATCTGCTGAGGCTGGGCTTTGAGGTACAAGACGAAGACATATATTTTATTGTAGTAACGATCTATATAAGTCAGAATAATACTTTTTCAAGAAAAACGCTATTAAGTTTAGATAGGGCAACTTCAAATCTAATTGTATACCGGGGTTGCCCAAGATAGGGAATGTGGACGCCACTCAAGACTAGCTTGAGAATTATAATGTAATACAGGGAGTCCAAAAACTCTCCTGACAAACAAAGACTGGTGATTCCTCAGATAATTTTAAGGCAATTTACTCCATTTCACCTAGTCCCAAAATGCTGCCTAAAGGAGCTAGATCTCTTTGAAGACAACTGCTTGCAATAAGTTTTTTTAAATACCTCCAGAAAGCTAATGGCTATTTTAACGCATAACTTTTTTGTTTTCAACTTTTAAGCATTTGTCATTTTGGATTATTAGATCGTTAGGTATGGTAATACTAAAAGGTACTCTTATTTTAAGTCAGTAGGATAGGTTTTCAAGAAAAATCGATTTAAAATGTTTTCATTTTTTCATCATAAAAGTTAAATAAATCGGCACCTTCATTAATTTTATGAATTACCTTTTGTTTCAATATATGCTACACACAATTAAAAAAAAATAATTGCAAAAATCGCGTCACGTTTATTTATTTAACACCCTTATAAAAACTGAGTTTATTTGCAACAAAATATAAAAACTGCATACGAAAAGTGCACTATTTACCTTAAAAACGAATCTTAATTTTTGTTGATAGGACATTTAAATCAAAAGATATCGAATTTTTACCTTCAAGCTGATACAAATTTTATTGAACATTGATTTCGCGCATGTGACTGACATTCACAATCCACGGTCGCTTCAAGCGTTCTTTCTGAGAGAACAGTTCATGCTACTTAAAAAGTGCTCATGCTTAAAACATTTTTTTCTACAGCGTACAGATTCTTGGTGAATCGATTTTTTTTGCGTTTTTACCCCCATACGATGGGGTTTTTAAGGGGAAGTCATCATCATCATCATCTTGGTGCTACAGCCCTTAGAGGGCCTCGACTTTCTTAAGCTTTCTACGCCATTCTGTTCTGCCCCTTGCTTGCATTTTCCAGATGCTGACTCCGATCTTCTCGGCATCTTGTGTTACGCCGTCCATCCACCTCAGCTTTGGTCTACCCCGTCTTTTCATTCCCACGGGTTGCGCTGTTAGAATCTTTTTTTATCATGTTCGATTCAAAGGCCCGGGCTACATGTCCTGCCCACTGCAGGCGGTTTCGCTTAATTATAGTGGTAATATCTTTACCACCAAACGTATTCTTGTAGATATTCTGCAGTTCAAAGTTATATCTACGCCTCCATATTCCGTTTTCATAGACCACTCCGAATATCTTGCGTAGCACCTTTCTTTCAAAAATCGATAGGGCGGATTCTATACAGCCGAGTTTTTTAAAACAGACGTTTGTTAGCTAAGTACTTTGATAGATCATGATAACACCTGTTTGCAATTATTATTTGCCTTTTTATTTCCTCAGATGTGTTATGATTGGGGTTAACCGGTGATCCTAGATATATAAATTCTTTGACTGCTTCGATGTTTTGATCATTGATGATTAAATCTGCGTCAACATTTCCAGTTCTTGTGTTTGTGTTAGTTGCCATAAATTTAATTTTATTTTGATTTATATGTAACCCCATTCGTTCTATTAATGCTGCTACTAGCTCAGTTAGGATTTCCGTAGTTCTGGCTCTGGTTCTTGTTATAATTTAATGTTAATATTGTTCCCCTGCTATCTAAATTAGCGTCTCGTACAACTTCTTCTAAGGCGACATTTCAAATGGGGTTGACAAGTCGTTTTAAATTTTTACTGCTGATAGCACCTTCGCCATTGTCACTTCGCCATTGTCACATATATGAGTTTTTTTGGAATTCCTAACTCATTCATAGAGTTGTAAAGACTTGGTCTTAAGACACTGTCATATGCCGCTTTAAAATCGACAAAAATATAAAACATATCTAGGTATTAGGGGGAAGCCAACGGGTAAAAGTGGTTAACTTTTTGCATCTTTTTGGGATCCCAAAATTAATATTCTTGGCAAAATTCAGATTGTTTCTATAATTTTTAGGGGTCAACTCTCTGAAGACTGAACTAAATAATTAATAAAAATATCAACAATCAATTTCAATAATAAGGTAATATCTAGAACTTAAGGGATATGGTCCCTTAAATTCTCCTAAAATTATCGTGAGAGTTAGCTGAGTAGGCCTCCAGGGGAAACCACGGTAAAAAAACACGCCGAGTACACTATCTAATAGGTGGCGTGGAAATGTGTGCTTATCATTTATAATGTGACTCTTGAGGTCGATTCAGACACATCAGTCACGTCTCGTCAGAGTCCTGGCGCCGAACCGAACAATCTGTCATACAAAATATTCTTTAATAGAAATATGGCGCCGGCATTCACATTCATTAGTTGACAATCAGTTTGCCAGCTGTCAGATAGTTGATAGTTCTGTGACCAAACAGGACCAATTCGGCGCCGAGACTGTGACGGGACTGATGTGTCTGAATCGACCTTTAAGCGGCCCCTAGGCAGTCAATATTAGCGTCAATATTATTGTACCATATGTTGTACAATAATATTAGTAAGCCAACACACGAATTAATATTATTGTATAATAGATTAGTTCCCGACTTAAACTTGCGCTTTCAACATGTGGAATAAAAAAACAGCGAGTAGTGTGGCTATCACGTTAGTTGCAGCTTCACAAGAGACGAAAAAAAAAGCGCAGCTGGATGAAAGAATGGTTCAAAAAAAGAAATAAATGCAATCATAAAAATTTATTAATTAGCGAACTAAAAGATTTTCAAAACTTGTTGAAATAGTATTTGAATTATCACTGTCCACATTGTTTATATTATCTGCTTTTTCCCCACGAGAAACTGCATTTCGCTAATGCTGGTTGAAATACATAGTCTCCCCTTACACCGCTTTTTCAGAGTCTCTTATTACGATGTAATTCCTCTCTAAAGTTGGTGCGCAACGAATTGAATTTTTTCACTAACTGCAAATTATCAGCATCTAGATAATATTCTCTGTATTTTTGGAGCAATTGATGGTACTGTTAATTTTTTTATATTTTAGTACTATAATCTTTACTCTTGACATTCCACAAAGCCGGTAACGACCGATGCACTATATAAAAAACTATATTTTTTCCCATTTTTCCTATGCAGACATATTTTTTATTATACCGCGATGTTTACAAGACTGTTAAAACGAAACTGAACGAATATTGCTCAATAAAAATCAAAGTCATGTTGATTAACACAATATATTGCACAATCATTTAATGTGGTCTATAGACGATCAATATATTGTACAATATAAATTCTGGTCCAGAATATTGACAATAGTATTGATCGTCTAGGGGCCGCTTTAGAATAGCAATATCTCAGGAATGGTAACTCTTAGGTCTAAGGAAAAAATCGTAAAGACCATTTTTGTAAAGAATTTTAAGATCTACACCTTTGATTTAAGGTTTTTTGAATAAAATTTTAGGTTTTTGAGAAAAATTCAAAAAACCTCAAATTTTGTACTTTGACCCCGAATAGCTTTTGTAGCACACATACGATTAATGAGGATTTTTAAGACTTTATTTATAATGGTAAACCCCAGCTTTCGACCAATATTTAGATTTCCGAGAATTTTTGTGATTTTAAATGTGTATGTTGACCGTAGTATAAACATTGAGTTAACAAAAAAAGAACGTTCAATTTGTGGTAAATGCGATTGACTTCTTTCAATAAAACATGTGCTGCTGGAACAGTGTAAAGCTCAAACGTCACAGAATTAAATACCATTTTCCAACACTTGTAGCGGTTATATATTTACCTACCACATTGGCTATAAATTATAAAGGGTTAAAATTGGGGACAGAAATTACTAGACTAAAGGAGGGTAAGCAAACAAACTAAAATGTCTGCGAACGGCTACTCTTGGTTTGGCTGGAAAGCTGGGTCGTAAGTAAGTGCATAAAAGAAGCTGAAAAGAGGTAACTACAAAAAGAGAAATCAAAAAGTACTTACATATATTTCTTGGGCTACACAATACAAGAAGGTTCCTAAACTATTTAAAAAGGGCGTCGTTTACAAGAATCTTCCTGATGAATGAAAAAAAGGCTTTTCTTGCTAAGAAATATTAAAGGGTGAAAATCTTTTTAAATGAAATAATTTTACACTTTGGTTTAGACAGAAACATTACATATTTATTATTACTTTACCATAAACAATTAATACAAATAATAATAACAAAATCTATAAATTGTCTATTTTTACTAAGTAAAATTTATAACAAAAAATTACCTGGCATTACTGGCTGATGTATCTTCTTTAAAAGTTTTTGGGCTTGAAACTGGATCCAAAACACTGCAAAATAATACAAATGCATCCCGCAAGCTCCAGATTGGTCTAAAATGGCCAGGGAAAACAAATAAATAATTCTTTGGCAGTTGGGCACTGGATTCGGGCCTCGAATTAACAAATTACAACCTTCAAAACTCGGCCACTCAAGTTCTTGCTTGAATGAACCTCTTAAATTGTGGTAATGCTCTTTTCTCAAATCTCTAAAATACACAGTACGAACAAATCGGTGATTAATTCAACAAAAAAATGCCAGATCGCATTTTTGAATAAAATTGACCTTTCCACAAAAATAATTTGCCTGCTTTATGAAGAATACACCCAACGAGATCTTTCTCCTTTAAAATTTTAAATCCAACTTAAACTGTAACCACACATTTAACTGCTACTATGGCTATACACTCTCTTGCCATGAGAAAAACGAAAAACAAAAAATAATAACGAATTTGATGAAAATTCCGAATAAACGATAAAGTGACCACTTCAAGGATTCACCGTAGAGTGTATAATTCTTTTCCCCGCATCACGTTCTCAGCAATCTAATTCGTTTGAAACGCAATAGTAAAAGGCATCACGATATCAAAGAAATACCAAAGGAATGCAATTAAAGTTATTATAGACCAGACTGAATTTTTATATTATCAATCCCAATAAAGCAAAAGGATTAAGAAAATATTTTGGTGTTTTAATATATACAGAGTGATTTAAAATGCTACATACTTTTAAATACATTTTAAATTCAAATACCACTATCAGTGACCTACTCTTGTTTTTAAAATACTTGTTTACTAAGCAACGTGTTAGTAGCTGTTACTGATCTACTAATAATCATAAAAAATTAGCTAGTTTTGTTATTAAAAAAAAAAATGTAGAACTGTTTTATAATAATATTTTATGGAAAAAAGGATTTGACAAATTTTCTGTAAGTTTCGAGATGAGACTTTTTTCTTTTATCTGTTAAGGCTTTTCGACAACCATAATATCATGTCCAAGAACATTCACAATAATTTTAATATTTTTTCAATGATTCCAAACCTTTATTGCTCGGTTTGTATGTTTATTACGATCTTCACTAAACCTCCAACCATCTATTATACAGTTTCTTTACTTATTTTTTGTATTGTCCAGACGCAACTTTACTCGACCGGTAACGTATCATTGGCCTAGCTATGTAATTAATCCCACTGAAAGACCGGTAAAAAATGGATGTAATTTACAGTCTGGACAGTGTGATAGAGAGCCTCAAGTAAATAGATCGAAATAAATCGACACCTTGTTCAATATTTATCGGTCGTCATTCTGGTGAGTGACTTAAGAGAAATGGAACTTGATCGAATTGGAACAGAGCTGGATTTGGCTAAACAATTGATATATTTGCTGCATACATGATGCATTCGTTTGATAATAATTAAATTATATTTTACTAAAATTTACTGTTTTAATAACTGCAGTGTTATGTAATAATATGTCCGTGTATTGTGGATTGCATAATTGACTGAAAGAAATTTCGTACGTAAAGTACGCGAAAATTTCTTCACTTCATTCTTGGTTAACAAAAGCAAATGTTTTGAGGAACTTATTCTGTTTTTTAAAATTAATAGACAAATCACAATTTTATATACGAAGGGCCACGATAAAAAACGTTTAGAGTCACATTTTGTTCATTTTGTACAAATCGAATTTTATAGTTTAAAGTCGTTTATTTTGGTTCAGGAAAATTAAATGCAACATTTTTGTTTATCAGTTTATTACTGTTAGACGTTTTATTAGGTTTGTTCTAGCATCAGTTTCAAATGGTTTGAAACCATCAGCGAATAGTGGACCAGTGCGAGTAGAGGGGATATAGCACTGGTGACTGTATTATTTTCTCTCGCTGACCAACTGTTTGCTGACGGTTTCTGACTAGTTTGTCTGTTTGCTAAAACAAACCTATTATGCAAACGAAAAAAATAGTTTGCTAATTATGCTTACTTACTTGAGATCTTTAAATTTTTAATTAAGGAGCTGGACTCGGATCTATTTTGCACATTAAATCGACTCTTGCAACGAAGACTGTAGTAAGTCATTTAACATAGTTGTGAGAATGTTAATTTACAAATATAAACACTGGTTAGCAGTTCCTAAAATATCCAAAAATAAACTGTTGAACACAAAACTTTTGTAGGTATGTTTATTTAAATGCAGTTCCCAAAATGTATCACCAAAAAATTATATTTATTCTTAACAATAGAATCACACGGTAAGGGTAGGAACACGTAGAACGCGTGTTGCCGG